TCTCTCCAGGAGTTCCTCATCTTTCTTGAACTGGGGAGCCCAGAACTGGACACAGTACTCCAGGTGGGGTCTCACCAGGGCAGAGTAGAGGGGGAGGATAACCTCCCTCGACCTGCTGGCCACACTCCTCTTAATACACCCCAGGATACCATTGGCCTTCTTGGCAACAAGGGCACATTGCTGGCTCATGGTCAGCTTGTCGTCCACCAGGACTCCCAGGTCCCTCTCAGCAGAGCTGCTTTCCAGCAGGTCAGCCCCCAGCCTGTACTGGTGCGCGGGGTTTGACCTCCCCAGGTTGCAGGTGCTCTATTTCTCCTCCATGTTTCTGCAGTCCGGCCAGACCCCGAAGCTGCCCCTACTGAGCTGGGCTGGGAGCAGAGCGTCGCGCATCCCAGTGGCGGTGGTGCTCAGCTCCATGCACAGGCAGTCGGTGCCTTTGCATCTGGTCAGTAGTGGTGTTTTGCTGTGTTTGGTCACCTGGGATCGCTGCCATCAGGAGCGCCTGGTACTGCCGATCTGCTCACCACAGCCATGCCGCTCCTGCCTGTTCCTGCAGCGCTGCTGGGGCGAGATGCTGCCGTAATGTTCCTGGTAACTCGGTTTCCTCCCCTGCGGAGTCTCGGGGAAGGATTATGTATGCTGTGCTATCCAAAGCCAGGTGCGGCTGCTGATGAGCTCTCCCAATGCACTTTCCTGGTACATGTTGTTCTGTGTTTTTCCTGCCGTCCTCTTGCAGGCGCTTGGCCCTGAGCCCGGCAGCTGGGACGCCAGCAGTGTGGCCGCCCTGCCGAGGGACATGCTGGCCACAGGGCCTGCGCGAGGGCTCTCGTACAGCACCCAGCCGATGATAAGGTCCAGCATCAAGCCCTCAGCCAAGCGTGGGTGTTTGGGGTGCCGTCCCCAGGAGGGTGGCCATGGGGGCTCAGCTGTGACTGTCCTCTAGTGGTACCCCACCGTGGGCTCGGCTGCCATGCCCAGGGTCAGGATGGGCGCATCACCTTGCCTTGTTCTGCGTTCTGTGGGTCTCATGAGCGGCTCCGTGCCTCCAGTGAGCTCTGCTCTGACGCGAGAGCACTTTGATCTGGGTAACGTTTTCTGCAAGAAAGCACGGGAGGAGGAAGCTCCAGACCACTCACTGCCTCTGTGCCAGCCTTGCTGGGCGTCAAAGCAGCCCCTTGTGCATCCCATAGACAGGATGGGCATTGCACTAGCTCAGGCCTTTTCCTCTGAAGCACTTGACTTGGTTTAGGTTTAAAAAAAGCATATGCTCTACCTTGCATGTTTCAGTGTATAGCAGAGGGCTCCTCGCTCTTAAGCAGATGAATTTTAGTAGGAAAAACGAGTGAAAACATAGAACCATTGAATAGTTTAGTTTGGAAGGGACCTGTGGAGATCACAGGGTTGAGTTCTGTGCTGAAGGCTTAAGAAAGCATCTCTGTATTACTCAAACAAGGGATATAGGCTCCCCTTTCCAAAATTCAAGTACTGCTGTAGCTATGTCCTCACTGGCCTGCAGGGCTCTCCCTGCTTTCCCTGGCCTGAAGAAGGCGGCACAACCTTGAGTCTCCACAGACGAGTTCCTGCACTCCCCGCTATCTGCACCGGGGTTGTGTCCCTTGTCTCTCTTAATTACCCTGAAAATCCTGCCTGTTATCTTGCGTGACTCGGTGACCTGCATCCTTCTGTCTGTATAACAAGCATCAGGCTTCGTGAAAGTTCCTGTTCTTCGGATTTCGACCGAAATTACTTGTAAGCTTGTAAAATTTCCATCACTGACAAGGTATATTTGCTCCTGTTTCTGGCCCATAGCCATGACCTGCACAGGCATGCCAGGGTCGGAGCTGGTGCATGGGCTCCAGCAGGGCTGAGGAGTGCAGAGCCTTGCTGGCTGAGCGTGAGCAAAGCTCCAGCACAAGCAGGCTAGAGAAGATGCTCGGCTCTGCTGTAACTGCTGATGTTTAGATTTTCATCAGCGTGCTGTGGCCCGTCCTCCCTTTCCCCTCCAGCTCTGGCAGGACGTGCTGCAGAGCTTGCCTCCATGCCGGGCTGAGGTTCAGGAAATCCGGGCTGTGTCCCTGGCCCTGTCGCAGCCTGCCTCTGTAGCAGGGAGCAAGTCTTGGTCCTCGGGGTAAGTGACGTGGTCTGGCTTGCCTCAAAATGGGAAGATGCCAGAGCCTGGAGGGAACAGTCACCTCTTCTGATGGACTCCGTATGGGAGACCAGATATGTGCTTGCGTTAGGCAGTGGGAACAGACCAGAAAAAAACACAAAACATTGAACACGCTTGATTGTGTGAGTGGATTCGAGTCTCTGCCCATCTCACAGTTATGAAATGGCTGTAAAAATCCTTCCCTTCTTTCCCTGCCCCACCTAGCTGGCTCTCGTGGCAGGGGGACGTGCAGGGGCCGGTGCGTACAGGGTCCCTCCATACAGCTGCAGTGCCAACCAGCAGTACCTGTGCTTTAACAACCTCAGCCCCTCGCCCCATGCTGGTGCAGGCTGAGCAAAGGCTGCCAGCACTGAGCCAGTCCCCAGAGGCAGTGTCTGAGTGGTGTTCCTGGTGTCTCTCCTAGGTAGTAGTCCATGATGTGAATGAGCTGACGGAAAAGCTGTTTCCGATTGTCGAAGCCATGCAGAAACACTTCAGCGCTGGATCGGGGACCTACTACAGCGACTCGATCTTCTTCTTGTCGGTTGCAATGCATCGCATCATGCCCAAAGGTAAGCCTCCGCTGAGCTGCTGCAGCAGCTGCCTCCGGCAACACGGGCTCTTGTTCTTCTGCACCGAGATGCTATCCGTTGCTATTTGAAATGCAAAGAAAGTTAACAAGCTTTCTGTGTGGGCTCCAGGCGTTCTGCTCCTTTCTGCAGTTGATGGACCCTTCAGTCTAAGACTGTCCACATGCAGGTCTCTGCTGGCGGGAGCAGTGGGAGGTTATCCATGCTGTGTGGCAGCTGGCCCTGCCCTCATGCCCTGGGATGGTAGGAGAGGTGAGACAGGAGCGAGTGTGCTTGTCCTGTGCGTGTTTACAGCCCCCTTCCCCGTGGAGTGTCAGCAGAAAGAGATGCCTCTCGTTTGTGGCACAGCTGCCTGCCTGTGTGCTAGTAGGCATCGGCAGAGAGCGGTTGTCAAGCCTTTCCTCTTGGCTTCGATGAGCTCTTGGAAAGCTTTGCTGATTAGAAGCCACTGATCTCTTAAGTTTCCTTATTATGCCTTTGCTCTGCTGTTATTGAGTGCAGGAACAACAATAAATCTGCAGGAAAACAAGAGAGCTGGCAAAGCGGGCTTGGCTCAGTTGATGCCATGTTTTCCTTCCCCAGCTGCACGTGGGTGCTTCTCCTGGGACTGGCTTGCTTTTTAGCCTTGGACCAGTCACACAAGGAGGGTGTTGCATCCCTGGGCTCCAAACGCCTTCCCTGGAGTCCCCCCAGCCCTGCCTGTCCCTTCCCGATGCCAGTCCCGGGGCTCTCCCTGCAGCCTGCCCTGCTGGCCTGATGCACCAGTGAGGGCAGCATCCTCTCCCGGGCCAGCCGCCAGCCACATGCCCTCCCTGTGCCATGGCAGGTGGCAGTGGTGGCGGAGAGCACAGGGTCCTGCCTGGCCATACACCTGCACCAGGAGGAGAGGTGACCAGCCTCTGGAAGCTGCTTGCAGATGGCACGCAGTGGTGGCCTGTTCCCACACGCCTGTGTTGATGAAATAGCTGTTCCCGGGGCTAGCACCACCGGTCCTGGCAGCTTCCTCGACATCTTGGAGCCTCTGCCCAGCCATAATATTCCTTGCAGACTTCCTACCATGGATCTCAGGCACAGTCTTGCTCTTGCTGGGATGTGAGTGGGTACAACTCCTCTGTGCCCCTGTCCCAGTTTGGCTCTGCCCAGTTAGCTCCTGCCTTTGCACTGGTTCGTGAGGCTTCCTCTGGACATACCCCTGTCTGGGGGACACAGCCATCCCACGCTAGCTCGTGAAGTGGTGGGCCAGTGGTGTTTAATTTGTGCAGGCAAGCGTTAGGGAAGAGCAGGAGGGAGGTGGCCTGTTCCGTCCCCACCGGGGGCTGTGGGGCAAGGCAGCCCCGAGGGTCCCGTCCCACCCCTGCTGATCATTATTCTGTGGTCTCCAGCGAATGTTCTGTACTTCGCTCTCCATTAGACTTGGGTAATTTTCTTTTTTGTCTGGTGGCGTCTGCATTCCGAGTGCTTTGAAGTACCCGGAATACAAATGAAGGTATTAATGCTGGCTAATTCACTCTCCCGATTCCCTACCCTGTCTTTACCATGTGCTAAAGATATCCGTGTCGTGCTGCCTGCCAGCAAGAAGCTGCTAGGTCTGAAATGCCTTTTCTCAGTTCGTCAACCCACCGGTTGTCTCATCTCTTGGAAAGCTTGTTTGCTGTCCCTCAGCCTGCTGGGGCTTTCAATGGTCTGTTCGGGGCACAGGATGTTTAAAGAGGCATTTTTACAGTTTCATGAGCTTAGTTTTTGTTTCAGAAGCTGCTAGTAAAGCTGATTTATATTTCCCTTGCAAGAGAGATCAGATTTACTGCTCTGGGTGCCTGGTGATTTATGGGGCTGGCGGGGCTCCCCGGCCCCTTCCCTGCTTCCCGACGCTCAGCCGGCCCCGTGCGGGAGGCAGCAGGGAAGGCTGCAGCTCTGCTGCCCGCTTGCAGGCTTGCGGGTGGCATGGGACTGGCCCCGGGCTGCCACCGCTCTCCTGGCTCTGACAAACCACCCTCTACTGGCGTGAAGAAGCCGCTTTGCTAAGGTGGAGGAGAAAGGACTAAATGTTCCTTTTCAGGCAATATTTGCATTTTTCCTTGTACATTTCTGTGCCATTTCATGTGCCCTGAATGCTGCATCTTTTTGTGCACCTCTGCAGGCACATCTGGCTCCATAGCGTTAGCACCATTTTTTTGTGGAAGCCAGATTTGATTGGAAGCTTAAGCGTCCTCCAGCAGAAACAAAGGCCGTGATCTGAATATTAAACTCTCTTGTGTGTTTGTTTGCATTTGTATTAATCGATCTATAGGTTTTTTCAAGAGCTCATAACCTTTGCATTAAAGATGCCTGGCTTTAGTTTCCGGAGTTTATAATTTTTGAAGGGAGGCATTTTTGTAGTGTCATGACTTAGTGATTTGTCTGGAGCCTTGGGGTTGCGATGGGGCACTGACTTTGCAGACTGCTGGCACTCACAACTGAACACCAGGGTAACTTTTTTTTTTTTTAAAAGAAGATTTTTGTGGAACACGTGCTGGCTGCATGCATATTGCACTGAGAATAAATGGGTTCTGCCACCCAGCTGCTCTGTTTTTCACTGCTGCTTGGGATCTTGCCCAGAAAACTTCAGCTCTAAAACCTGCAGCTGCCAAACTATAATATAACAGCTTCTTAGCTGGTGTAAATCATGGAACTCTCTTGCCTTAAATGTCTTACATCAGTGGAGTTAATCTGATTTAAACCAGCTGGGGACTTGGTATGCAGCGTGCAGAAGTGCAGACTGCATAACTCTTGTCTGTGCTTGAGGCTCATAAATCCTGTTTTAATGCGGTGTGGCCAGGCCCAAGGAGCTGGAGGAGGGCTTGATGCTTCGCAATGGTTTTGCAAGGGAGAAGTGATGGGAAAGTTACGCAGAGAGAGGACGAGCAGGATGATGCCAGCATGAAATGATCCTGGGACTTGCAGAGGAGTGCTAGGAGGGGAAAGGAGGACAAGGACTCGGACCTTTTTACTTTTCATTTTCAGTATGCCTATGCAGAGGTGGCCTCTCACTTCCCGACTGGCTTCAATCCCTCTAATCACTTGTCATTTTAGTCGTGTAACTTCAGAGGACTGGCAAGCTTTTCATCATCCTCCTTACGGATAGGAAGGAGCAATGTCTGGGCAGATCTGCCTGGCAGGCAAGGTCACAGGACAGACTCCTGATGCTGCAGCGAGGGGAGGAGGAGATGGGGTGGCAGAGGGGCAGCCAGGGGAAGCTGTGGGCTCCCCAGGGAATTCTTGGCCCTGTCCTTGGCCCAAGTAAAGTGTTTTTCAGGGAGAAGTAGTTTAGCAACTGGGTGTCCTCAGCAGCTGGTGGGCTTAGGGACAAACATCAGCATCCAGCAGTTTGGGCAGAGCTTTGAAAACTGCTGTTTGGTGTTTGACTCCATTGGTTTTGCTGACTGTGCTGCAGCAGGATGACCCTGCGGGAGAAGAGAAGGAGCAGAGGGAAAGTGGGACAGGATGGAGAAGCAGCTTGTCTCTGCCAACTCAGACAGAGGAGTGGAGTCCATTAGCTCAGGGGAGTCTCTGAAACCTGGCTGGAGGTACCATGCCTTGCACAGAGTGAAGGTATTTAGCAGAACTTGACTGAAGATGAAATTCGACAAATTGGAGGCAGCAAGGTTTCCTGGCTGGTAAGAACAGCTGGCAGTCTTCCTGGGAGGTAGCATCATCTCTGCACGTGGTCTCCTCCCCACCTGGCAGCTCTCTGGGTTTCTGTCCCACTGACTGACCCAGCATGAAGGCAGAAGCCCTGATGAAGGGTGGGAGATGAGCACAGGGTGCAAAGAGCCCCTGGGCTCTGCTGTGCGTGAGGTTAGCCCTCATGCATCTTTCAGGTACTGGTAAAGTGCTAACTTGTTAATCCTCATACTGCTTTGGGTGGGCAGGGAGAGGAACGTGGCTCTGCTCCCCCGAAGCTGGTGGGATGCAGCTGAGCAGAGCCACGGCTGGGATGTCTGCCTGGAGAGGGAGTGCCAGGGAGCATGGGCCCTCTGCTCATGCTAACACGGCTCTGTGTCTTCACACGGGCAGCGGAGGGAAAAGTGCAGAGCAGGATGGCACGTGACCGCAATGTTTAACTCCGCTAACGGGATCTCTTACAAGCGTATGTGTAAGCTTAGGTTTGGAGATCTCCAGGAAAGCAGCTCAGCAGGATAGCTCCTCCTCGTGCCCACCCTCTCTTCTGCTTTGATGCCTGCTGCATCCCAGAGATGACCTGTGTGCCTGTGGGAGGCTCTGCGAGCAGACAGCAAGAGCCATCAGAAGGTGTCTACCTAACAGCCAGGGAGAGAGGCAAACGCTGTTCAGCTCACCCTCTGCCTGCTTTAAATACTTTGAAAGCATGGGACTGAGAAGGGGAAGAGAGCCCATTCCCTGTCTGGTTTATTCCAGTGTTAGGAATTGGGGTAAGAAAGTGGATGTGTTGGAAAATATTTGGGAGAAAATATTTGGTGAGGAAATACTTGACATAATTATCACTATTGAAATTGGTAGGGTGAGACACAATTAAATTAAGACCACTGGTTGCAGTGCTTATGAGAGGGGATGGATAAGAGAAGTAGGAGCTGGGCAGTACTCTACGGTGAAGACACACCTGGGGACTTGCTGACTGAAAACTCGGGAGCTTGGTCTGCAGGTACATTTGGTAAAGTTGCTTCATCAGGGGCTCCTAAGGGAAGTAAGCAGCAGTGGGAGAAGTGGGTGAGTTTCTGTGTGACGGAACAAACATGAGGAGCTATGAGGAAGGAGAACAGAGTGGGACCGATCATTATGTATTGCTGAATTTAATGGCTTATCAACATGGTCTGTTGGGAAAAACCTGGGAGAAGTGCGGCGGCTTCTGTACTGGCTGACTGGGACCCTGTGGTCTGGGAGAGGGCTGGCCGAGGGGGTTATAGAATCATAGTTATGGTGCAGTCCGTGAAGACACGAGCCATGCAAGGCAGATGTTTGTACAAGAA